TAATAATAATAATAATAATAATAATAAAAGACTATAATATTCTCTTTGTGGTAAGTTTGCCCCTATCCTGAGCTCCTGCTGTTCTGTGTTTGACAGGTTTGACGGTGACAGCTCTGAGAACAGCACAGAAAACTCTGTGGATAAATCTAAACCCTGGAATCGATCAATTGAAGATCTCCATGGAGGAAACAACCTCTCATCAGCTGTCACAGGCAACAGCATCTCCAGAGCCAGCAGACATTCAACGATAAGGTGTGAACACACATGAACACTAACTGATTTATTTATTTTTTTATTTTTTTAGGCGTACAGCAGAATCATAGCAAACAAGACACTGATAGCATCTGATAGTTTTAATTTGAACGCGATATGGTTTTGTCCGACTGCAGAGAGTGTGTACAGACTTCATGTGTTTTCTGAAAGGCTCTTTTGTATAGTCATGAGGCCTGTATGACTTTAAATGGCTTAGGAAACAGTGCACCATGTCAGAACACAGTCGACATGTGTCTGTCTGTCTGTCTGTCTGTCTGGCCGCTGACTCACAAAACTGGTTATTCTGATTAAGAATGGACAACTGACACATCAGCATCATATGAGTATTAATACAGGAACTTCCCTGTCTGTTATTGAGCAGCCTGATGACGGGACAGAAGTATTAACACTGAGCCTGAGGGGATCTATTTTGAATGGGTTCAATATGTTAAGCCCCCTGTCACTTGAATTGGATTAAGGTCTAACCCTTATGCAGCAGTTAAGAGAATTCCAGATTCTAATTTTGGAGTTCTGCTCGGTTGTTTCTTCTGGATCACATCAAAAGCTCCTAGCTATTCAGTGGAGTTTTGCTAACATAGAGACATATGTCTTCAACATTGAGTAAGACAAAGCAAAGCCCCTGCAGTGTGATCTGACACCAAAGTCTCATCCTGAATAAGTAAACTTTATAAAGAAATTAATGTTGAGTAAGAACATGTGTCAGTAATACTCATATGATGTTGATGTGTCACAGAGTAACACATTTGCATAATGCCCGTCTGTTCTGCGTTGGCCGGCCGTGAACAACTTGACCCCGCCCTCAAACACTGTAGCTTGTTCATGTGGTTAAAGGGGTCATATGATGTT